CTGGCGCATGCGAGGCAATGACTTAAGCCACTAGGCTACTGTGCTGGGCCCTTACTTTCTTTAAGGTATGAAATGTTCCTGTTAGTCCTGAGAGAAACAATAATTTTTCTTCCCCCAAAAGACTTGAGATTAATTTCCGTGTGCTAAAAATGCATTTTTATGAGTTTTGGAGTGATGACAAACTCTAAGCAATGTATCAAAGTCTGGCTGTTTTTATTCATGGTTATGACATGGGTATGTTTTATCACCTGTCTCAAAAATTTCATGTCTTCAATGGGAAGTCATGTAATCTTCAAAATTCCAGAATTCCTTATCTAAAAATAGTATATAAAATTCTGAAATTACATAACACAGCCTTCCACTCCCTATCCCCTCCAATGAAAACTCCAGTAATGTGGTAAAAATAAAAACCCTGAGATACTAGGTTTTATTTCTATTTTAAAGAGTATGGTACTAAAAGTATTAACGTCTACAGAGCTAATGCATGTACATTCATTGAAAACTGCAGCATGCTTCACTCAAAGCTTTATCATAAAAGAAAATGAATTACACTGGTCAATATTTAAGAAGTACAAAACTAATGCGGAAAACTAAATTTCTGCTTTTCTCCAACACGTGTAATCTAGACTAGGAAAAAAATACTAATATCAGCTCCATCCACAAGTTAGAAGTTGATTTTAATGAATAGGCAAGAAGAAGTACCTTTGAAGCTCCAATTTTTTTTTCTGTCCCTATTGAAGGACAGAATAATACGTTCTGTAAATAATGTGATATGAGATTCTTATTCATACTTATAGGACCTCTTGCAATATTGGTTGTTAGTTTTTGTACATCTCAATGTTAAAGGCAATCTTCCCTTGAAGCTAAAAAATGGGAATGCAGGGGCAAGAGCTCTCTGGATCATCATAAAGACCCTAAAGCTCCTTTGCTAGGCATCCCCCACTTTTTTTTTTTTAAAGATTTATTTTTATTATTTTTTTATTGGAAAGGCGGATATACAGAGAGGAGAGACAGAGAGGAAGATCTTCCATCCGATGATTCACTCCCCAAGTGAGCGCAACGGGCCGATACTATGCCGATCCGAAGCCAGGAGCCTCTTCTGGGTCTCCCACGCGGGTGCAGGTTCCCAAAGCCCCGGGCCATCCTCGACCGCTTTCCCAGGCCACAGGCAGGGAGCTGGAAGGGAAGTGGGGCTGCTGGGATTAGAACTGGCGCCCATATGGGATCCCGGGCGTGCAAGGCGAGGACCTTTAACCACTTGCGCCACCTGCGCCGGGCCCCATCCCCCCCACTTTTAACCATGCAATATATTGCTTCAATAAGTTTACTGGTGAGTAGCTAAGACAAGTTATTGTGATATAAAAGCAATACTGTGAAATATGGATTGCTTTCTTCTTTCACTTTTTTGTCCCCATCAGCAATGGAAAAAGGCAATTCTCCCTGAATGAGTTATTATGATCTGTATAGATTGCTTAGAAACTGATTTAATTAAACTGGTGATAATGCATCTAGATTATCAAATGAATAAAAAACAATGCTCTCTCAGCAGCAGAAGCAGTAGTAACAAAATCCCACCTGTGAGTAGGTTAATCAATAAAGGTTAGAACTCTGGAAGGTTTGGAGATCATTCACAGCAAAGATTTTAACTTGAGGAGTCCAGCTAGAAAATTCAGGTGAACTCATACTTTTCACGGAAGGGTCGTCTGTAAATAACCCTGGTAGCCGCCACTTGGTCTCGCTCTTCAGCAGGCTCCAGCGCCTCAGTGCTGGGCCATTCGATCGTGTAGTCAGCTGTGCAGCTGTGTTACTTTCACAGGCTCCACCCAGTTACCTTGGAGCTAAGAAATCAGTGCTGCACACAAGGTGACATAACATCTTCGACCATCACGGAAATCCACTCTAAATACAACCTGACACTGACCAGAAAAATTTCTACCGAGATGCCACACATCGCAGTTTAAGCCTCAGAAATTTAGAAATTGCTAAAAAGACCCATCCCCTAAAACCTCATCAACACAAATTCCTTCAGCACGCTCGAACGAGATCTGACATGAGCTCATATACTTTAATTCTTAGACCATAACCATGAAGTTCTGCTCACATTTAATAGTGCCTTTGAATGTTTAATCAAGTCAAAAGCATGACTTTTGGTGCCGGCACTGTAGCACAGTGGCTTAAGTCACTGCCTGCAATGCTGACCTCCTTGAGGGTTTCAGGCCTCCCTGCACCATTTCCAGTCCAGCTCCCTGCTAATGGTCCTGGGAAAGCAGCAGCAGATGGCCCTCATGTTTGAGCACCTGTACTCATGAGCGAGTCCTCCTGTGTCTGGCCTGGTCCAACCATAGTCCTGCAGCTATCTGGAGAGTGAACCTATCAATGCACGGTCTCTCTCTGTCTCTCCCTTCATTGCTATAACTCCTCCTTTCAAATAAATAATTATTAGAAAAACAAAAAATGACTTTTAATGTGAATGGTTTTTCATTATAAAAAAGAGATACACAAAGTAGCAATCATGTATTCAGTTGATGAGGTTTGTCATCTGCTGCATAAGTAGTGGTAGTTTATTAAAAAGAGTGTTCAGACAACTGTACTGATCTACCAGATGACCAAAGTACCCTACTCCTGGGAATATATCCAGAGGAAGTGAAATCTGAATATGAGAAAATAACCTGAAACCTTGTATTTATAGCAACATAATCCACATTAGCAAAGATATGGAAAAACACAGACACTGGTGGAAAGAACAATGGATAAAGAAAGGGTGGTACATCTATGGAATACTACTCAGCCATTTAAAAGAAAGACATCCTAACATTTGCAACAAAACCCAACTGTACACATTGTGCTCAGTGAAACAAGCCATTCCAAAAAACCCCAAATATCATGTATTCTCTGAGATCTGGTAAACAAGTGTGTGTGTATGTATTTTTACATATATACATATATATATACACACACACATATATAATCTGTATAATGGAGCCAACCATACAGGAGGTGAAAAGGCATTGCAGCATGCATCTCTAATCACAAATAAAAGGAGGCTTCCCAATGAAACAGTTAATTGTAGCTTGGCAGTATGATACTAAATTTTGTACGTTGCCTATCTCTACAATGCTATGACACATTTAAACAGGAGAATGTTACACTTGTGACTGCAACTAAAGGACTGTACTACAGTAACAGTATGGGGGAAAATGGGGAAGGAGGAAGGGGAAGGAGAGGGAGCAATTCCTATACCTATAAAATTGTATCATAGAAAATAACAACAACAACAACAACAAAAAGAATGGAGATAGTCACAGTACACTTGCCCAAATGAGCAGTGGTTACACCTTTAAAAATAAAAAAGTGAGTGGGTTGGCACTTGAACACAGCAGGCTAAGCTGCCACTTGCGACACTGGCATCCATACCATATGAGAGAGCCAGCTTGAGTTTCACCTCCCTGCAAAAACACATGACAAAGCAGATCATGCACAACATGTTGGGCCCCTGTCACACATATGGTATTCACCTGAGAAATAAACCAGTGGCAAGCAGGCCTCTTTGTCTCTTCTTCTAACTCTGCCTTTCAGAAAAAAAAATAAGTAAATGCTTAAGCAAATGTATAAACTGTAAAGGAGGTATTAGGCACGGTGGCTAAAATGGCTGCAACCTGTGTCAGAAAGCCAGACTATGATCCTCAGCTCCAGCTCCTGACTCCCTCTTCCAGACAGAAGCAACAGAAATGGCTCAAATAATTGGGTTTCTGGGCTGGATCCATGGGTCAATAGGCTAATCCTCTACTCTGTGCTGTCACCATCCCTCATGGGTACCTGTTTATGTTGGGGACGTGATGTCATCCTACGCTATGCTATACTCACGTCACGTCATATCATGTTAAGATTGTTACATGATGTTATAATAGGGATTGGCTGCTCTAATCCCAAACCAGCTGTCTGCTTATGGCCTTGGGAAGTAGATGAGGAGGGCACAAGTCTTCAGAAACCTGTATCCATGAGACTCAAAGACCCAGAAGAGGCTCCTGGCTTCAGATTAACTCAACTAACCATTGTGGCCATTTCGGAAGCTAACAAGTGGGCAGAAGATCTTCTCAATTTCTCCTTCCCTCTGTAAATACAACTTTCAAATAAAAATAAATAAATAAGAACAATAATAATTGGGTTTCTGCCAACCAAATGAGAGACATGGATTCAACTGGCAGTTTCTGGGTCTGAGCAAGCCGTTGTGGACATTGAGGGATTGAAGGAGCAGACGACAGTTCTCTTCCTTCCCCTCTTGGTGTGTGTGTGTGTGAGAGATAGCTGCAACACCCAATTACAGTAATACATGTGCTCTTAGTTCTGGAAACAGTAAATGTTATCCAATACAAAATCTTCTATGCCTTGAAAGAAAAAAAAACTGTTCTCTTAGTCCTTAAATATCCATAAATTGATCCATATATTTGGCTGTGTATCACTCAATAATAGTTCATTGAATTTTAGAAACTTTTCAAACTCACTGACCTCTATTTTGTCAACTCGGACCTCTCTTGGTTCTCATGGAGCTTAAAGTAAATATTAAAGGGGGGGGGGAATCAGTACAAAATCACAGAAAAATTCATGCAACAAACAGTAACATTCCAAAACCTGTAACTTGGAAGAACCAAGCAATTTTGACATTGAAGTTATGCTCCAACCTTATTTTTTTTTAATACTTCCTCTTTGCTTTAGATTTTTATTAACTTTTCAAAACATTCACTCATTCAAATGTAGCCATATGGATCTTACGAGTTCATTCGGCCCTCCCAGTTTGATGATATAATCCATTTCAAGGGAATAACATTTGAAGCTGTGAATGGCTGAGAATCAGCTGCAATCTGAGATGATATTTTTTCTTGTAGGAGAGATAAGCTCAGGGAAGGGAACGAGGAGAAGGGTTCTGCAAACCTCTGGGTGCTCTGGAAATGGCACCAGTGGCAAGAAAGGGAGATGGGGCGGCACCGCAGACCTCCGCTTACCCCTTGTTCAGATTCCAGAAGCTCTGTTTTGACTCTGACTGCCGGCATCCCATCAAGCATTAACATTCTGTTCTCAAAGGTGTTGATATGCTGAGAATAAAAAAGAGAGAGACTCGGCTATTAAGCATTCCAGAGAGGACAGCTGGTCCAATCCTCTTCTTCACCGTGGTACATTTAGTGCTGCTAACCTAATTTTTTTAAACAAAGAAGTATAATGAAGTGAGAGGATCAGCATAACCAATTATCTACCTACCCTCTCCCACCTCCACACCCGCCACTCGGAACTTTCATTTAAAATAATGACCAGGAAGTAAAATTAATCAGTCTGACTCTCTGACCTCGGGGGTGGAGGTCAGGCTGTAATAAACCTTACATTAATTTATATGGGGCTGAAACAATCCATCACACTTCCACAATAGTGCAAGGAAGTAAAAGGCAACTTTCTCTTTTCATTACTTTAAGACATTGCATTGTGCACAGATGTTCATAAAAGAAATCAGATAAAATAATTTATATACTCTTAAAGTCTAGGGAAGATAATGTAAGTCTAGACACATTCAATTTTCCTATCAGGGAAATTATGATCAAACAAAAATTCCTACATATCAATGACCTCCAGCCATCTACTTCACAACCAACCTAAGTCAGCCTCATGTGAACTGATGCACCTGAAGTTAGAGCTAGGCCAAAGATCAGCTGTTCTCTGTGTTACTGGATGTCTGCCTCGACTCAGCATAGTTCAAGTGGAAAATCATGTGTGGCTCAATAAAATTCCAAACAATAGTTTTTAAACATTAGGTCAGGATTAATTTCGACCACTATGTACTACTGTTTTGGCGATTTCCTTATCAGCAACCTATGAGGGGAATCTGAACGTCACGTCTCAATGACTGCCTAAAGCCATCGCTGGCCCATATTCCATAACATGCACAGAATATTACTGTGACTGCAGTTACAGACTAAACTAAAAAACTGCAATCAGCTAATTTATGTTGGTAAGTTTTGCTCAGTTACAGAATGTCATCACATGACACCATAAGAGGAAAAATGAGCTTATAGACATTCTATCTGTATGGCAACAAATGTTAATATAATTTTTGAAGCTTTGACATTTATGCCTTTCATTTGCTTGGTTTGTGTCTTTCATTTACTTGGTTTGGTCTTTCATTTTACCAACAAATTAAAGAACTCAACAAGCCACAATATTACCAAAAATACTAACAGAGTACAGTATAGTGAAGCTCTAATTGTTTCATATATTTCTCGACTTCTTTGAGAAATACTTTAAGAAACAGGATTTCTAGGGCCTCTCAGCACAAATATTTGCTTTGAAAAATCAACAAGAAGAAATAGCAAATTAATTCTAGAGTTAACTCCAATGCATTTTAAAAGCTCATACCATCTAACTATTAGATACTTACAGGAAGAAAAAAAAGTACTGTCACATTCTTTCCTATGTCATTTCCAAATTGCCAACAATACATTTAAAATTTTGTCTTTCTGTTCATTTTTTCCTATTTTATAAGGATGTTGTAGCCTAGTCCAGAGCTCAGATTAGAAACATGGTGCTACAAGCAATCTCAGTCAACTGGTTCCAAATTTGCAAGCCTTTTGTGGAGGCCTGTGAGTTGTTTACGCAAAGGGCATGTTTATGAAATTCTAACAGGTCTCTGCTTGGGTGATTGGAAACAGGCAGCGTGGCTCAGTGCCACGTGTTCTCAGGAAACCCCTCCAATAGCCGGGCAGCCGCTCATCTCCATCCCTCACGACTCTAAGAACCCACCTTCACATAGCATCCTGCAGCCCTCAGGATGGCAGACAATGAGTGATGAGCTGATATTACTTCCTAACCCGGAGGAGATCTTGGCCAGACGTACAGGGAAGACACCTTATTAAGGAAACCTAAGCAGTGGAGGAGAAGAGAAAGAGAGGCTCTGGAAAGGCAAGTTTAATGAACTGTTAGAATCTGATTAGAGGCTAATGTCCCTTTTAGCGCTTTGTACCAATTTACTGCTGATATACTCCCACCATTTTCCTCGCAGATTGTGATAAACTGTTTAGTCTAAAACCTGAGCTCTAACCGGGGTCTTTAAAGTTAAAACCTGGTAAATTACACCTGGCTGTGTCCATGTTCCATTAAGCACACTTAAATATCCTTATATTTTCATGATGCTTTAGAAGATTTTTTTTATTGCTATTCTTGAATAATTCTACATGTGTAAAAGAAAGAACGGACATTTTGGTTTGCCTGTAGAAGTGGATAAAAAAGAAATGCAATCTTGAATCCTTAAATAATCATTTTTTTTTTCTTTAAGGTTTTTCTCAGGATCCTCATTCAGAGCCACAACCATAACAAACATTAGTAAATGACAATGTTCAGACAGGGAGCCAACCTTCACCTGCTCAAGTCTCTTGACAAGGGAAACTCTATCTGTGTTATGCCTTCAAGTTCAGTTGTGACTAGACGCGAAGTGGCAGTAATCTGTGCATTCAGAATTCTAACCGTGTTTGGGATTAACACAGGAGGCCATCACAGCACAGTCTAAACTGTTCTGGATGGCATGTGGTTTCTATACAGTGGAGGGTAATTAAATAGCACTGAAGACACAATCCCTGAAACAAAATATTGATATATTTATCTCATTAAGCTAAGGTCTGACACATACACTCTCAGTTGACTGTAGACTTGAAATGAATAATACTTCCTAACAATTTGGAAATGTCTCCAAGCACATCTTGTCATGATCTTAATCAAAATGTATTTATTGCAGAATCAATAGCTTAATTGATTCCCGAGAGGAAAAAAACATAGAGTCATCAACCTCAGTGTTATATTATTATTATTTTTGCAACAAGTGCGTTGAATTATGCAACCACCAGAGTAACAATTTATGGGCATATATCACACACATACGTATATATGTTGTTTGCATCATGAATGAACTGTAGTAATTAATCCAAAATGTACCATAGGACTTATTAACCAGATATTAATTTCATGTGCACTCAATGAGAATGGCATTCTGATTTTCCTGTTAACCATAAAAGATCTGACACCTCAACAGTGCAGCTCATAGCAGGAGCCCACTTCATCAAACTCCATGCTATCAGCAATGACCACTGATGCCAGCATCTCAAAATAATTCTAAGTGGAATATGCAGCCAGGAGATGGGACTGAACTTCAGTGAGTCTAACTCACAAAACCATTCAATGGGGAAACTTTCCAGGCTACCTTCTAAACCTGCTCCTCTAACCCTGTGGTAAGGGCCTTCTCTTATGCCTTCTCCCGACTGTGGGTACATTTGCACAAGTCGAATGATGAAGAACTAGCCAGTCCATATTCTAAACATAAGCCAAAAATTGCAGTTGGTATTTGTTTTGCTTTTATAGGTACATGACACTAAAATCTATATCCAGCATCAATCTTCATGACTGCCCTCAGATCATGAGAAATATAAATATGTCTCTCTGATCCACTGGCCTGCTAAGTCAGAAGTGATATAGGGGACAAATGAGTAGCAATTCAAGTCCCAGTCCACCAAGTTGGCTGAGGCACTTCCACTGAGGCTTATAATGCAAGCATGCCATCTGGATAGAAATGTTACTGTCCATAAAGAGTAACAGAATCAGTCTACAAAGGAATTAGGTATTTTTATTAAAAACAAACAAAAAAGTCTTAGAGAAGTTAATCTCTCCTTTTCCTTTACTCACCCCTACCATAATAACAGCAACAAAAACTATTACCAATGTTTTCCAGTCCTGCTCACCAAGTAATGCCAGCTTAACCCACAGGTTAAGAACTCCCCAAACCAGTGCTGCAGTACTTGTAACAAGAGAACAATAGAGTCTTCTCTTTTTGGATAAGTCGTACAAGTTAATATGCCTACTTCATAATTATTATCTAATTATATGCAACAAATATTTTATTGGCATGAACTAAAAATTATAATTTTCACCTTGATAACAAACATAATAATCCTTAACTATTTGCATAGTTATCATGGACTAGCTCATGGGCTAATTGAGCATATGAGTACACATTCAATTTTCAAAGTAATATAAGAAGTCCTCCTTATATTACCTGACATTGAGGCATCTGAGATACATGCAGAGAATATTGGCCAACACCATCAGTTAGTGAGTAGCACAGCTTCACTCCAAACCCAGTACGGTTATCCACTGTATCCACTTACCCATTTAACCCCCTACATATCCCTGTATCAACACATTCTCCATATTAAAAAAAAAGCTGGGGAAAATATGAGCACTTTATTGAAAGCCACAACAGCAGAATTCTTAAGTCTCAGGGACACGGTCTTCCCAAGAGCTAACATGAAAACTCTTGGTCACCCACATGCACATCATAATATGGGGGAATAACAGTACTAAGTCTGACAAGTCACTGATTTTAAAATCATTTCACTTTTTCCCTACTTTATATCATGTTTTTAGCACATATACTTAACCTGATGAATGTATTCATTTCTCCACTAAAAACTGCTCAGAATTTATTTAGCAGGCCAATATCATAATGAATTCAACTTTGAAAAAAATCTATGACATTATCTGCTATCCAGTGTTTTGAAAATATTTGTACCTTTTGCTGGCTCATTCTGTATTTTCATAGCAGTTCCAAACACTTCGGTGATAAAGTAATTTCACCTTGTAAATTTTATACAGAAGCTAGTGTTTTGGCATTACTTTCCAATTATAATGGCTCAGATGAAGTATAAGCTTATATTTTTCTACACTTACATGTCTTCAAAATCTTTCTGAGGACTTATCAATAATCAATGTCCCTGAAATGCTACAATGTAAACATCAGTTCAAACATAGACAAATAACATTTCAAACATATAATACAGTTGTTATTCTAGCTACATTTTTCATCTTTTATTCCTTCGCAGAATGGGGAAATGAATAGCATATTAGATACCCATATTTTATTAACAGAATTAACAACTGAAACTACTGTCATTTTCACCAAATCCTGTTTTCAATGATCCACCTATTTATTTTCCTGAAATATTTTATCTTCAGTCCGGAAAGTAAAACCCTTCCACAAAAATTCTCACCCTGAAACATAAGGAACACTGTTTCTCATAAAGATTATTAAAGGTGTATGTCTTGTGCCATGACATATTTTTCTGATAACAAGAATCATTTTATATCCTATCTTGACAGAATGCTAAACTAACCATGACAATATACAACTCATATTAATAATTTAGAAATACTTCCTATAAGCTGTTAAACCATCCATGAAATACTGAAATTCATATTCAAGTTGAAAATGAAGGCTATTCAAAAGGGCAACCAACCCAACACAAGCGAGAAACCAAAAGCCTCCATACATTTCTCGAAATAACAACAGCTGCCTGACTTCCTTCTAGTATTCACTGGGCAGAAGGTGCTTAAAATGACAACTCAATTTCCAAATGACATTTTTTTACCCCGGTATTAATTCAAGCTGCAATAGAGAAGTATTTTCATTATTCCTACTCTGCAAAAGTGCACACACTTGGAGGTTGGGAGCTGATCAATCTTTTCATAAATATGCAGTGAAGGCCTTTGTTGTGTCAAATTCACCCCATTCCATCAGCACCACTCACTAAATCATGAGGCTTTAGGAGAGATTCAAGAGAGATCAGGAATGGTCAGAACACACACACACACACACACACACACACACACACACACAATATGGAATGAGAAGCCTCTACCCACCACCAAGCACAAACCTCAGGGAAACCAAACCTCAGGACAACTCCCCAGGGAGAGATCCAATGCGTGTTAACAGGTAGTGGGATGTCAGCATGGGTCAGTCACAGTGGGCTTAATGACAGGCAAAGACAGGCGAGAACTCAGTTCCGTCATAGAAAGCATCCAGAAAACAGGACAAACCGGAACAAATCCTCAGGCCCTGCCCCAGGAATCCAGAACCAAGGAAACAGGAACGGCTGAGAAGCAGAACATAGCTTGAGCTCTTGCTGCAGATACAGAAACCAAGCACCACGAGTTGGGCAGAAGGGCCAACACAGTAGCAGACAGGCCCCACACATTAAAGAAGTATGTTTTGTTGCTTTATATTCATTATCTCATTCGTGTATGCACACATTCATTCCTTCAAAACATACCTGGGCATGATTCTATTGATTGGTGATACGCAATTAACGAAGAGAAATTGGTGAATTCTTGCTCCAGTTATCTAATGCCCCCAAAAACTTTATTGTAAATGTTTTAGATAAGAACATTAAAATCTAGAGATATTACATACACAGATTTCCCAAGATTATGAAAATTATATAGAGATGCCCAGGCATGGTGCCCTGACACCTCTACACACCACCGTGCTCTGGCTGGTGGACTTTCGGTACAGAACGGAAAATTAGTGTGAGCTGACATGCAGATGTCCCAAAATTCACTAGGTAAACAAGACGTTGTAGAGGAGCCAACTCACACAAGGAAATTTAAGCATCAAGAAGAAAGCAACAAGGTAACTTCATAACTTAGGCAACACTCAGGAAGATCATACACTGCACAGTACTCAGCCAATGAGGAAGAGGGCACAGGACCTGGGTGCCACCCAGCAAACTGCTTGTTGTAACTGCTTAGCATACCTTCAGTCTTGAGATAATAAAGTCTTACATTCCCTGAGTCTCAATTCATCTCCTGGGCAAACAGGTGAGGATATTTCATACAACAAACAAGGCACAAGGGCTGAGGGGTAGACTGTAAGGCCAAGGCCAACTCATCACAGATGGCACTGAAGGGAGACAGAACTGAGTTCATACTGTCCCACAGCAGGTGACACTACCAATTTCCCGAACCCTGGTCTCCGCCCTTCTGCCTCCAGGACTGGGTACAAGCTACTTGGCTGTAGGATTCATCATTTGCTGAAAGTTTCTGTACTTGTTCTTGTACTAGCAAGCAAGTTCCCAGAGAATGGATTTGCTCATTTCCTTCTTATAGTGCCACTATTCCTCATAATTAAAACAAAACCTAATATATAATCTATTCTCAATACGTATTTCTGAGGTGGATCAAAGAAAATAATGCAAACACATAATAAGATCTGTTCTGTCTCCTTGGTCTATGGGGTGACAGACTGTTGACAAAACAGAAGACAGTTACAGGCAACATTGTCAAGCTAGGAATTTCTCCTTATCTGTAAAGAACAAAGAAGATTTGGGTATGGTTGGAATATTCACTGCAAGAGTTGATTGCAGGGACCAGTGCCATGGCTCAACAGGCTAATCCTCCACCTTCAAGGGCCAACAGCCATATGGGCACTGGTTCATATTCCAGCTGCTTTACTTCCCATCTATCCCCCTGCTTATGGCCTGGGAATCTGACCATTGTGGCCATTTGAGGAAACAGTGAATGGAAGATCCTTCCCACTGTTCCTCTTCTCTGTCAAATCTGAGGTTCTAATAAGAAAAAAAAAAAGTATGATTGTGCAAGAGACCAGAATGGTAACATGCCATCAAATTCATCTTGAATTGGTCTTAAGCTGTGGTAATTCATCTGCACATTCAAAAATATTTGATGCTAAATGCCAGTAACTGGTGGTGCAAAATGAGTAAGAGATCAAAATACCCTGCCTTAAGAGAACTGGAATTACATAAGGATGAAATGTGTTGGGACAAAACACAATAGGTATGAGATTCATGGAAAAAGCTAATGTGTTAGGCTCTGTGTCACTAACTTGGAAGCTAACTGATGAAGACATAGAAGGTGACAGAGAATCCAGCTGGCACAATAGCAGAGACAGTAAGACCCGAACCATGGCAGTAGTAGTGGGAACTGATGGGAGAAAAACATTTGAGATAACCACTAGCAAGA